CAGGTTTCAAAGTATAAATTCTTAGAGTTCAAATGTCACGTATTCTTTTTTTTTAAGGTTTGGGATAATAAACAAGGAGCTATATTATGGGGGGCAGTGGCTAGCAGAAATTGGGAGGTGGGTGGTTTGTATGCACAGGTATAGGGAAAGCAACAAGAATATGGTGGAAATTGGAGCTGGAGGCACTGGCAGTTACCTATTTGTCCTTCAATCTCAAACATGCCCCGACCTCTGTGACTGTGGGTGGAGGTCACATCCCACTGCCAATAGAGAGCAGCACCACGCCCTCTTGGGCAGGGCTGGATCCCCCAGCAGCCCCATAATGGCAGCTTGGGCCCTAGGTGTGCCATGTCTTACTGGGAGACAAAACATGACATACCTGGTTTCTCTGATTTACCGTGGTGGAAATGTCCCTTGACTCTAATAACTGTTCGGTAAAACACTTCGGCATGTAAGTTTCAACGCAGTACGTAATTTAAAGTAATATGTATGACTCTTTCTTCCTTTCATTTCTGTCATTTCCTCCAACCGAATTTTATTTTCTTCATCAAAAAACAACCAACAGTGCTTTCATTTTCTTTGTGTATGTATGTGTGCGTGTATGTCTGTGTGTATGTGTTTATACAAACAAGATTTGGGCAGAAGTGTGGTTTTTTGCATGGATTTTGAAGAAAAATTAGTCTAACAGTGTTGTGGAGTTTCAGCCCATCCTTGTGAAAATTAAATGAGCTGATATATAGTACTTGGCACAAGGTCTCACAGGAGGAAAGAGCTTTGTGTTGATTATTACTATTGTTTAAAGGACATCAAAAATCTGAAAAGGTACTATTATTATCCCCATTTAAAAGCTAGTTAAGTGATGGAAGCAGTATTCAAATCATATTTTTCAGACAATGAATCTATTGAACCTACCCCGCCACTCAGGGTTTGAAACTGCTGCAATGTGTAGCAAGATGAAATTAGGTTGTCTATGTAATGTGACTCTGATAAAGTACCATATAGCAAGAAAGAAAGATGATAAAGTGGAGGAAAAGATGTCTCAATAGTTAATGTTTTTCTCAAAGGATCAATATCATTTTATATTCTAATTGATTTTAAAAGTTTTCTTGTGGGCCCTCTTTGCACAATTAATAGGATTCCTAAGACTTATGGGTGTTCCCACACTTGTGTGGAAGAAATAAGTCAGGAACTCTTTGTGAATTGTTGTTTCAAAATCAAGGACACAGGGATGAAAGAGACCTCGGATTTATTTGGGGTGTTCTCTGAT